ATCTTGTCACATGTGATTTTTAAATCGTGTTTAGCTCAAGGTAACTCTTTTTCATCCAGGGATGATAAAACCACAGAACCAATTTTTTCGTGTTATCAGTGACGCCATAACAATGAATCAAGAACAAAAACCAATGTCTACCTTATTTATAGGACATCAAAGATACGTTCTTTCCAACCAGGAGACAACCATGGACAACTGTTTCACATTATCAGCTGCAGCCTCCCAACACAATCCTCACCACAGAATCTTTCATTCCCGCGACCGAAACAAACAGCACACACCGGCACTGAGGTCTTTAAATGAAAATGTGCACAGAGCAAAAAGTCAACGTAATTAACTCGGAAATAAATATATCAAGCTATTCAATAGCCAGGCTGTAGACATCCCTCTAAGGTATTCTATGTCGCCTACAAAATTAAATCCAGATTCAGCTGCTTTCTTTCTTGACAGCAAAGCAATTTTTTAAAGCTTATCTAATAAACAACATACATACTTACATCATGCTGTATCTAATAAGTCTTGATTCTTCAACTCTCCTTGTCAGTAAATCATTTGTTTATGTAATTTGAGTTAACAGAAATTAACAAAGTTTCATTCCTGTCATTTGAAAGTCATGGATACTTGGTTATCTTGTAATAATATTAGTTCATCATGGCATTGGCTGTAACCTACCTCTTTATGTAGTGCACATCAAAGCAGTAAAGTTGGCACCAACCTTCAGGACAAGATTACAAAGAACTAGCCGTTATTCTCAGAGTTTTATAACATGGCGGCATGAAACATCGAGAGATGTATAATCTTCAACTCTGAAGATACTGATAACAATGGCGTACGTTTCTCGACAATTAATTAATTCTTAATGTCAAAGACTAGACAATCCAGTGATAAAGGACTAATTGTTATCCTTTCTTAAAAATTACGGGTCACTTCTTGTTTGTTATAACCAAAGTTTACTGGAGACCGCTATATTCTTCTTGAAGAACACATTACCAAATCGGGGTGGTGGGGTAGCCTAGTGGTTAAAGCGTCCGCTCGTCACACTGGAGACCCGGGTTCGAATCCCCACAAGGGTACAATGTGTGAAGCCCATTTCTGGTGTCCCCCGCAGTGATGTTGCTGGAATATTGCTAAAAGCGGCGGCGTAAAAGCAAACTCACTCACTCACTCATTACCAAATCCATGAACACTGCTAATGTCTGGGTGTTGATGTCTGATCATACTACTGGCAACCATCACCAAGAGAGATAATTACAAAAGTAAGAGACTTTATATCATAATTGCCACTGATCCAGATTTAGGACTGGTTTAATTTAAGCCCAAGTTCTGACATTATCAGACTTCCTTATATCCGAAGGTGACTGATGTAGGACAGTTTAGACCCATGAGACTTCTAATCTTCTTACCTTCTAAGCAAAAGGATATGACACTGTAAACAATAACCTTCTCATCGTATGTGACAGAAACTATGGTGTAATCATGTTCGAAAAGAGTATACCTAGAATGTGTAATAGCCTGTCAGCGTAAACATCGAGATCACTTGGGAGTGAGTGAGTGAGTGAGTGAGTGAGTGGTTTTACACCACTTTTAGCAATATTCCAGCAATATCACGGCGGGGGACACCAGAAATGGACTTCACACATTGTACCCATGTGGGGAATCGAACTCGGGTTTTCAGCATGACGAGCGGATGCTTTAACCACTAGGCTACCCAGATCACTTGGGAAGTCTGTTTCAGTTAGCTATCGATGTGCAACATAACCACTACTGGAAGCACTCCTAATATCTCCATAATTCAACCTCAACAGTCGTTTCAGGCAATTTGTACTAATATCCACTTTCAAACAATAATTTAGGTCATTCATTCATACTTATGTACAAAATAAATCAAATGGAACCTAGAACACTATATAATTTCATGGGCTTCACCTGCCAAATCATTCTAAATTGGACTCATTTTTGAATATATTCTCTAAGGACTGGCAGATGAAATTAGCTAGCTGCCGATAAGCCATCAATGTGCTCAATCACCTCAGCTGGAAGCACTCACAAAATCTCCACCATCAATCCTCAGACATGATACTGTATTCCTGAACAGAAAATGGTTAAGCAGTAGTTTGGAGACAGTAGAGCACATCATACTGGTAACAATCTAGAAATCTCTATGGGTGAAAGAGTTTAGTTTTATGCCACACTCAGCAATATTCCAGCTATATGGTGGAGGTCTGTAAATAATCAAGTCTGGACCAGACAATCTAGTGTTCAACAGAAGACTTGTTGAGCCTTACTACCTGATCCCGTTAGTCACCTCTTACGACAAGCATGGGTTACTGAAGGTCTATGAACACACACACTCAATTGATACTTTGATCACAGCCATAATGTCTAGTGAGTGAGTGAGTGAGTGAGTGAGTGAGTGAGTGAGTGAGTGAGTGAGTGAGTGAGTGAGTGAGTGAGTTGTGTTCCAGGCCTCACTGAATTATAATGGTTATATCAGGGCATCAGCTCAGACTAGAAGGAAAGTCTGCCCTGATGCAGGTCTCATGCGCTAACCACTTTGGTGAAACCCACAAGCATGAATAAGGTGTTGACTAACCAGGATTCGAACCTAAAGCAACCTGCAGACCTTAGATCACTTGACCAACCACGCTCACAAATGTCTTAGAAAACCTGGCCTGTACTTGCAGATGAATTCCATAAACTGAAGCAAGCGACATTATGCAAACCATGATAGATATTCCACATCTACATCAAACACAATTTGGTCCTCTCCTCCACTGAAGAGCCCATTTCAGATTCCATTTTGCCTCAAATGCGACATCTAGACATGTTTTTCATGATGGGTCTGCCATTTTTCTAATTGAAAAGAGCAATTATGTCAAGCAGCACATTTAAAGTGAAACATTAGACCCGAAGATCACAAGAATTATTCTGTCATTTTCCAAAGCCAGCACAAATGTCAATTCGCTAACACCACATTCGTCGTTAACTGAAGCGTAAGGAGAGATGCAGCATTTCAATGCTGCTCTCAACTCCGCAAACTGACAAACTTGAACTGCTTGAAAAACTGCCTTCCTATTAGTCCAACGAGGCCGCAGAGGCACAAGGCTGTTCCTTTAGCCAATCCCGATTTGCCGATCACTGGTGATCCAATGATGAGAGGAATTAGTCAACAGTGATGTAGCGTTACTGACACACTTAGCAGCTACTGATTGCTCTCTTCAGACGTAATGCTTTTTTTCGTAGTTATTGATGCACCTCAGAAAAAGAGAGACAAATTTGCTTTTCAGAAGCTTGGCCTCCGTCAATATCTGCTTGCCGATTGTTGTCACTGCCCGTTTCAATATTCTTTCAAGTCAGAGTTTACAATGCAAGATGTATTGCCTCAACAGATTAAATCTGATAACATCTATTAGAAAATTATTATTGGAAAAGCTGGAACTGATTGGAGTGAGAAAGCATTTAACATCTTGAAGGACCTGACAATAAGGGTAAAACTTGATGCAGTAAATTCCATAAACAAATACATCAATAGTAAGATATATAACATCATCACAGAATTCATTGATGGTTGCAAGTGAGTGGGAAAACATTTAACTTCTAGAAGGACCTTACACTGGGGGTAATACTTGTACTACATTTCCATGACAAATAGATCAATAGCAAGATATTAACATCATCACAGAGTCCATTGATGGTCTTTGTATCATGCATGCATCATATACTACTCAAGTTCTAATAGGGATACTGAGATATTTTATACCACATGTATGAATGTGCATGAATATTCAACACTTGGTCCCTAAACAGTCAAGAGTGAGTGAGTGAGTGAGTGAGTGAGTGAGTGAGTGAGTGAGTGAGTGAGTGAGTGAGTGAGTGAGGTATTACATCATTTTCAGCAATAATCCAGCAATAATATGTTAGAGCGACCCAGAAATTCGCTTCACACATTGTAACCATGTGGGCAACCAAACTCAGGTCTTCAGCATGATGAGCAAACACCAACTCAACTGGCCCCAAACAGTCCAGAACTGAGGAAGTACATGCAATGTTAGTGATCACTAGACTGTGAGTGAGTGAGTGAGTGGGTGAGTGAGTCCATCAATATCACAGCAGGTCACTTCAGAAATAGGCTCACATATTTTACCAATATTGAGAATAATTCACAGGTCTTTGATGAACTTCAACTCCCATCCAGCCCCACCGCCCACATCATTCTTCAGTGAACGAACGCTGTTTAATTCAGAAGGTCGTGTGATATTCCAGCCACAAGAAAAAAGCCATTTATAATCGTGACGAAGCAGTGGCAACCCATCAGGCTGCAATGAATGACATACAAAGTAGCTACTTTAATCACTCAGTCCCCATCAGTCACCTCTCAGGACAAGTATCAGTACTTATTGTGGCCCAGATTCCAAACATAGACGGTTGTATTCCGGTGCTTCCTGTATTGGATATTCTGGTAAACCATGTGCTCTCCTTGAGCTCAGAGATGACAGAAACTGTGAAAAGATTGACTTGAAAGTGAGTGAGTGAGTGAGTATGGTTTTACGCCACGCTTTAAGCAACATTCCAGCAATATCACAGCCGGGGACACCACACATTGTACCCATGTGGGGAATCGAACCCGCGTCTTCGGCATGATGAGCAAACACTTTAACCACCAGGCTACCCCACTTAACCATGAGGCTACCCCACCTTCCCTTGAGCTCCTTGAGAGAAACTGTGAAAATATTGACTTGAAAGTGAGTGAGTGAGTGAATGAGCGAGTGAGTATGGTTTTACACAGTACTTTTAGCACTATTCCAGCAATATTGCGGCAGGGGATGCCAGAAATGGGCTTCACACATCGTACCCATGTGGGGAATCGAACCTGGGTCTTCGGCGTGATGAGCGAACACTTTAACCACGAAGCTACATCACTGCCCCTTGAGTTCCTTGAGAGAAACTGTGAAGATTGACTTGAAAGGATAACCGATCAAAAATATCAGCGTACTTACATAATCTATGATGTATCTTCTGTCATCCAAAATCTGAAGAAGAAACAAACAGGTCGAAATATAATCAAACATATTTCAAGATTCAGGAAATACAAATGAATGCAACAATGCTAAATCAAATTCAAATCATGACCATTCCCTTCCAAAACAGAAAATATTAGAAAATCATATCATGGTAAAATATTCATAAAATTGTTGCCAATGTCAAAAATAGATTTACTGTAGGGAGAGCACTGTGCTTTATGATCAGCAACTCATCTTTGATTGAGGCCTTGCCATTGTAATTTGTGACTCGCATAAAATTTGACGTGGTCTCACTGTGTTCCAGGCAATAATATACTGCTTGATTGAAATAATAAAAAGTAAGTTTCCAGACAGGAAAATAGGGTTTTGATTTACTTGAATCACATTTCTCATATTGCTCATTGGTCAGAGCTAGTCTCTATATAATCTACTATAACTGCAGTGAATACAGGTACAACTAGCTAGCTAGCGAGTTCCTAGAGTTCTTTAGTGTCAAAGTAGTTTTTGTTCGGTTTTAATACCATACAAGAGACTGAATATTTGACCAAACATATCCTTGCTATCAACATGATACTGAAGTTTTACAGCCATTTCTACTCCACTGTTTAATAACAAAGCAACCGTGAAGATCCGGGTTAGAACTGATCTTCAGTAATCCATGCTTTTCGTAAGAGGTAACTAATGGGATCTGGTGGTCAGGCTCGCTGACTTGGTTGACACATGTCATCATATCCCAATTTTTAGAATCGATGCTCATGCTGTTGATCACTGGACTGTGTAGTCCAGACTCAATTATTTACAGACCGCTATCATATAACTGGACTATAGCTGAGTATGATGTTGAAGAACAAACAAACAAACAAACATAACAATGAAGGTCAGATCCATCACGTAGTTATGAAAACATTTCTTATCTTACTATCAGTCTGCAAATGGTATCAAATGTGTTTGTTTGCTGTTTAATGCTACACTCAGCAATATTCCTGCTATATGATGCCAGCCTGGGCCCCGTTTCACAAAGCTCTCGTAGTGCTACGACTATCGTAAGTCAATGTTACAGTATAGGAGGTACGATTGCTACGAGAAAAGTTACGAGATCTTAGGCTTACGAGAGCTTTGTGAAACGGGGCCCTGGACCATAAAGTCTAGTGATTGATATTGTGAGTAACTATCCATGCCTTAGAGGTAGGTAGGGGAGCCTAGTGAATAAAGGGTTTGCTTGCCACGTGAAAGACCGGGTTCGATTCCCCACATGGGTATAATGTGTGAAGCCCATTTCTCGTGTCACCCGCCATAATATTGCTGGAATATTGCTAAAAGTGGCATAAAACTGAACTCACTCACTGTAATGACAAACCATCGACTGTTTAATGCTACACTCAGCAATATTCCTGCTGTATGACGCAAGCCTGGACCATAAAGTCTAGTGATTGATATTCTGAGTAACAATCCCTGCCTTAGAGGTAGGTAGGGGAGCCTAGTGGTTAAAGTGTTTGCTTGCACCGTGAAAGACCGGGTTCGATTCCCCACATGGGTATAATGTGTGAAGCCCATTTCTCGTGTCACCCGCCATAATATTGCTGGAATATTGCTAAAAGTGGCATAAAACTGAACTCACTCACTCACTGTAATGACAAACCATCGACCAAGTCACTGAATCTGACATCCAATTCATCAAGGGACAATATCTAAACCATACTCCCCACAGGTTCCTATCTAGTCACCTCTTACGACTAGCAATTGTTGTTGAGGACACATTTCAGTGACCTTGTACATACCACCTGGATATGCCCATTGATCTGTTCACTCCCCAAAGTGGTATTTCCACTTAACGAAAAACATTGCAAGAAGCGCATGAGTTCAAAATCGAGCACTTATCCAACTATTATCGGTAATTGGGGTCCAAGTGGATGGTAGCTGGGTAACAAGGCGATCGATGGATATTACTCCCCACCCAACCATTCCTCTCCTGCTGCCATATATCTCTGTCAATGGCCCCGGCAGGAAAGAAATTGTTTCTACACAGTTTAATCTGTAGGCTCCAACAGGGGAGAACCAATCTCTCATCTCCTGTCCCTGATAAATGGTATCCATTCACCACGAAAATCTGACCGTAATGATTATTGTCATAGGTGATATCGATGACTTGGAGTCTGTGGGAGGCGAGAAATTAAAGGATTGCCTAATGGAATCCCTATCTTACATACAGAATCACATCAAAGCAAAAAAATGGGATTAATACGAGTTCAGGTAATATACAACGCAATCATGCTTTTTCATCGATTCAAAATATTCTGTTGTCATAATCATCCGTTACAAGCCATTACAGGAAAAGCTTCAGTTTCTGATACACTGCATCTGAATGTGAGATAACATAAGTGCTCGGTGGTTGCAATCTTAACTTTTAAACTGCTGGAAATCAATTATCCCTGACGGGACATACAGGACTTTTACAAATTCAAAATGTTTGATCTCATGAATCAAGATGGTTATTTCCCTTGTTCTGTGATCTGTCATTTGATGATGGAACTGGTTCGGACGAAGTTTGTAATTAGAAAAAGTTGGTTATGACTGAATCAAGATCCGATATATCAAGGAAGTACCTGAGGCTGTGTGAAATCTTAGTTCACAACTAATATTACTTTTTTTAATTTACTTTGCAGAGTTGCGTCCCTAGGGTATGCACCTGTGATTTGGGGCTCACTCAAACTGCGTTTTCTGGGCTCACGGTTTCATGTAAGTGGGTTTCCAACATAACGTTGTTTTCAGTGGCATTAAACCTAACTCATTAACTCATTATTACCTGAAATGAGCATATGTCACCTCCACCATAGAAGAAGCATCAATTGTTTTTTATTTGTTATTCAACGCCACACTCAGCAGTAATCCAGCCATTAGTATGTAGTGAGTATGGCAATATTTCAGCCATATCGTGACTAAAACAACATATATATTAACAATAATTAAAGGTAGAGTATAAAATCCTGTCAACGAAGGACAGTAAAACAACTAGAATATCACATATATAAATGTAAAACTAGTAATTAAATCTAAAACATTTTAACTATAGAGGACAACATAATATAAAAATAGGCTATAGATCACCAACAACTGAAGGTAGTTCACCATACAAGGGACCATGGGGACTTACAGTACCTTTGCTACCTGCATGGACCCTAGTTGGATTTACAACATCCCTTCATCCGTTGGCGATTGTACAAAATGTTAGCCAAAATAAAATAACAAGAATACTACGTTTAAAATCCTGGTAAGTTTAAATTGACTTTGAATGTTTTGGGGCTTATGTACCCTCTCAGGAGGACAACCATTAGTCTGTAAATAATTGAGTTTGAACCACATAATCCTCTGACTGACATCAAGGACATCATTCTTCACAATTGGGATATGATGACATGTGTCAACCAAGTCAGTGAGCCTGACCACCTGATCCCATTAGTCGCCTCTTACGACAAACAAGGGTTGCTGAAGGCCAATTCTAACAGGGATCTTCACAGGTCAAACTGGCTTTAAGGAGATGAAGTGAGTGAGTTGGTTTTAAACTAGCTGCCATGAGTCCCATATGTCCACCATATGCACATCAATAAACTCTTTTTGACATAAAATCATCTGAGAGATTCAAAAAGAAAAGCGGGAGGAGGAGGATATTTCCCATCCCTGCACCCCTTCTGGTTCAGGATCTGGAGTGTATGGTCATGTTAACATAGACAAAGGCTGGCAAGCACTAGGAGGAATTACAGAGTCCACAGTTCCACAGATTCAAATACATGACCCCTGCCTTGTACATCAGAATTACCAGAGTACCATTGCATGTGTAATGACACATCCTGGCGGGCAGTTTTTTAGTCATGAATTTAATTATATCCAGCACTGAGTTCCTTGCAAGGGGAGTTTACGACAGTCATCGCTGATGAGGCAGTGGGCGGTATGTGTTTATATCTACATGCACTAGACAACCAAGAAGCCAGCTGGTCCTAACATGCAGCAGTTCACATCAACGTACATGGGTCAGGCTTGTAACGGATATCTGAACATCAGTTGCAAAAACATTATTAAAGGTCCTTCAACAGAATAAACACAGTCAGTGAGTTGATCTTGAGTCTGAGAGTAATTCTGGGTTTTTGTCAGCGAGTGAGTGAGCTGGGTATAATACCGCTCCGAAAAATATTTCAGTCATGACCGCTCCAAACAATATTTCAGTTATAATGGCTCTGAACAATATCTCAGTCATGACCGCTGTGAACAATACTTACTTGGTTATTCTGATATTCAGAGAAAAAAATTTAATTTGGACACATTGAATTCCATATAAAAATAAGGGATAAACTCTGAAAAACAATTTACAGCACCTATGGGACACAAGTTTCCTTTAACAATGATGCAAGAACATGATGATGTTATTATATGGATCAAGTGACGTGTTTGAAGTCATCAGTGCTTGGAGCACACTCTTGTGAGAAACTCATCATTTTCTTGGACAGACTGCAGAAGCAGCTACACACTTCCAGTCAAACACCACCATGGACGTCAACAACATGGTGCTGACATCACCGTACACCAAACCTATATCCTTTTGCTTTGACACAATATAACTTACGTCAAAAGTTAGACGTGACCCTGACATTTCACATCCAGGTGGTGGATAAGCCCAGTGGTTAGAGCATTCACCAAAACATTTAGGTGGGAATCTGTATAACTAACCCACTCACCCCTTCGTCACTTGTGACAGTGGGTTAGCCTAGTGGTTAAAGCGTTTGCTCGGCACGTCAGAGACCGGGGTTCGATTCCCCACATGGGTACAATGTGTGAAGCCCATTTCTGGTATGTCCCGACATGATACTGCTGGAATATTGCTAAAAGCGACATAAAACTAAACTCACTCACTCACTTTTTCAATTAACCACATGACTGTCACAATAATAATGTTTATAATGATAATACAGTACATAATCACTGACCGTAAAGTACATTTTATCATAAAGACAAGGAATAAAGAGTGCACTCAAGTCCTGCAGACAAGAAAGCAGGCTTTACACCGACCAAACATTACTGTCAAAGGCACCATTTATCTCTTGGTAGCTAGTCTGACTGTAGGGTAGAATACGAGACAAACCTATCACTGGGACCATTGATATATCTCTCAAGCAATTTGAAAGGATATTCAAGAGTGTTTTTTATTCAAGTATTGATTCTCTCAATGACCGGAGGCAGGGTAAAGATACAATATGTAATATCAGTCTGGCATCGATTGATCATGTCCTTCACAGTAAAAGATGATAAAAACTGAAACATTCATAAAAGGAGTATATGTTTGTCTGTTACATAATTCATTTATTTAGTGCCAAATTCGGTTCACAACTGTACCAAGACTCTGACAGTAATGCAGGTTTTCAAAGTGAGAGTGCCTTAATCCCTACTTGAGACAGCACTGTGTAACGGATCTAGCCACAAGAATGTAATAAATTTCAGACAATGCTCCTAGACAATGTTCTTTGACAACAATGGCATCTTGGCAGATAAATTGACTACCGAATCATGTTTTATTCTAAAAGGTTCTAAAAGAGTCCCAGGCAACAAAGGTCCCTTTATTAGCCATACAGAGTTCTGTCCCCGAGACATGGATTGGAAGTTCAGACTTGCCAGTATCATCCATGTCACCCGGGCTCATCCTGTCAACCTGTTAACAGCACATCCATGACTGTGAGTTCCACCAATGGGATGGTGAGAGAAGATGTAGACTGACAGGTTGGGTTGAAGAGTGTCCTGAACACTGCAGCTCCAGAGGGTCAGATGTATGATGGATTGGAAAAGCTCGAGCTGAAGTTTTCAGGAAGAGCTGCTGCTTGTTCCAACGCTTGCTTACCCAGATTGTTTCAAGGTTTGTCAGCAACTTACCTTGCTCAGCAAAATGATAAATGTCAAAACTTTGGGATTTGTTTCCATCTCTGCTGAAATGCCGTGATACAGGAAACACTGTTTAAATCTGCACCAAACCCTACACAGGTCCAACCAAACTGGAGTCAAACCTAACACAGGTCGAACCAAATTGGAATCAAACCCAACACAGGACATCCTCAAACAGGTCAAACCCAACACGAGTCCAACCAAACTGGGGTCAAACCCAACACAGGTCAAACCCCAAACAGGTCAAACCCAATACAGGTCGAACCAAATTGGAGTCAAACCCAACACAGGTCAAACCCCAAACAGGTCAAACTCAACATGTGTCAAACCCAACAGAAGTCAATCTCAACTGTTATTTCTGCAGAACTATCACAGCACCATTCTGTGCAGTTTACA